AAAGCAAAATGCTACTTAAAAAGAAAAACAAATTCTGTGGCAGGCAAAAAAAACCAAAACAAGATGAATGCTTAAATAGAGATCACTAGACCTTTGAACACCAGAATGTATCAAATTATAAAGTTTGCGAAGACTACAACAATATTCATAGGATTCATAAGCAGAGAACACAGCTTATCAATTCAAAATAATCCATCAAAGAAACCATGAACAGTATTGTAAAAAGAGATTAAAAGATTATAAGCATGAAGATTAATGGAATATTTACTCATTTAAATAAGGTTGAAGTTATATTAGGAAAAAATAGCCAAGTTAATAGAAGTAAAGGATGAGATTTCAAAAGTTAGAAAAGTCAGACAGTGGCTCATGCAGCTTGTTCATAAAGTACATGGAAAATACAATTTATTTTTTTAAATATCTAAGGGGAAAAAGATCTAATGCATTATAATCACCCCAGGTCTTCCATTTCATCAGAAGGCTACTTACACTGTAGAGGACAGTACTATGTGAGAGACTGAGATTATCTTCCAAGAGATAGTTTTCAGAATATAGAATAAGGTCAAGCGAGTACAAGAGAGCATTTAAAGAAGCCAGTGACTTTGTGATTTATGCTCTTGTAAAGTTCAGAAAGCTCAGGATAAAGGCTAAAAGAGGAGCTGCATAGTCTTATGGTTTAGAAATTGTTGAATAAGTACAAGAACCAGTACAATAGATGGATTTACTGTTCAGTGACAGAAAAGTGCTTGGAATTCAGAATAACTAAATGTGAGACAATGCAGGATTTCCTACAACTGGCAATTGGAGAAGCCACACAAAAAAAACCCAAAACTATAACTTCTCTATCATCAGATACCAGATAGTTTCCCTTTGGAAAAAAAAGAGAGTGTGTATATATGCAAGACTTCATTTTTTTTGTAGTGCCATTTGAATTGTCTAGCACAGAAGTTATGGGATGCCTTGGAAGGTAACACAACCTCAAGAAGAGATATTTAGGATAATCATTAGGATCTCCTTGAGATTGACACCTATATATATAGATTGACTGCCTACATAGAAAGTGTTTAAGCTTTCAGCATAATCAAAGCTTAATTTAGGCAATAGCCTAGAATAGAAAAGCATAGAGGGCAATTCAGTTGACCAGCAGGTTTGGGGAGAACTGAATCACTGGGCTCCACTGACTGTACTATTCAGATCTGCAGTGGGATCTTAGGCACAAAGTGCAAGTGCAGGTACCTACAAGCAGACAAGACCATTTCAGTGTCTAAATTAGAAATCAAATCCTCCTAATAGATGCTAGAAAAAAAAGATGCATGAAAGCATCAGTACTATAAAAGAACTAAGGTTCCCTCAGAGCCATCCAATGCACTGCAGCATCAGTTATTTAAAATGAAAAGAGCAGGTTAAAGAAAAAAGAATATGTCACAGATACTCTAAAAAACGTGTTTTAGCCTCAGTGCACCTATGTGGAATATTTTGGTTTTATGCTAAATGAAAGTCAGTTCAAATCATTTACTGCCATCAGCAAGGATGGGGATGAAGTACCAATGAGAACCTGAGCCCCACTCATTTTGGGAGAGTAATCTCAGTTCTTCTACAGGGGTGGTGGTGACAGCACTGGAGCATGGGGAAAGAAGAGTAATAAGATATTCAGAAGTAAGAAAACAAAGAGGGGAAGAAGAGGATGATCAAAGAGCCAAGATGCCTCATGACAGCTTTTATTGTCATTATAAAAAACTGCCTAGTAACTATTTCAGCATAGAAAACCAGAGATTATTTCTCCCAAGTCCACAGCAGAACTGAGAATTTGATACAATAGGGGGTGGAGAGGAAAGTTTAAAATGTACTCCTAGATAATGTGGAGCAAAGTCTATAGCTACTTCATGTTTCATGTCAGCAGTTGAAATAAATAAAATAATACCAAAACATCTGTGGCTTGGAGTAACTGTAGTGTTGCTGAAGATGTGTCAATGGAATAGAACCACAAGTTAATTAAGGAGATGCCACAACAGTGCTGCTTTAGTTGCTGTCGGCACTTTCATAAGAAGCTCAAGGTCTAGATGAGGTCTGGTAAATTTTAAGGTACTAAGGAAACTGTATTAAAAACAATAGCTGAAAGGTATATATTGGGAATTGAAATACTTGACAGAATGGATGATTACATCTCATACTGAACTGAAGAAACATATTAAGTAGTTAATATTTGGTTGGTGCACTTCAAAGCACAGTGAACACATCAGTGAAAAAAAAAAAAAATTAAAAAAAACCCTTCTGGAAGCCAAGAAGTCACAAAGTGGAGGTCACTGCCTGGGGGCATACAGTATATGATGCAGTTTTGGACTTATGGGATGTTTAAGGGAGGAACCAAAGGCAGGGAAAGTGATCTAAGGAGGAACAAACAGGGGAAGACAAAGAGTTAAGGGGATAAAAGTGAATTGGTCACAGTAACTTTCTGGTCCTAAGACTGATCAGTGCAGTCTGTTCTATCCTCTTAATAAATACCTTTCTGATTTTTTTTCCTGGATGAGGGATTCTGTGCTGTGTGATTGAGTGTGATGGTCTGTACCAGCAGCTGGAGAGGGGCTGGGGCCTCAGGGGCTCATATGCCATGCTGCCAGCAACTGGGAAGACTGGGATGCAGGGGTAGCTGCTGCTGGGCTGCCAGCAACCCCTCTGCTGGAGGCATCCACACTGTACATACATATACATTTATCCTCACAAGTGGACCTCCATCCTGCTCGGCCTGAGAGGGGAGCAGGGTGAGGCTGTGGTGCTGCCTGTGTGTGTGTGAGGGCTCTGTGTGGTGCTATGTGGTCTGTGTGACTAGCCATGTATGTAAGTATACACATATGTATGGGTACATGCAGTGTGTAATATGCTCTGTGTACACATGCCTACTGGGGATACATCTTCACCCTCACTCCTGGTTGGACCTGAGGGCACAGGGGTGCAGCAGCCTCCCTTCTCTTGGGCTTTCAGATGCAGCTGAATATATTTCCTGCAGAACAAAAACTAAAGTAGATGATGCCTTATAATGATACTGCTGAGGTTTGAGTTAAAAACTACACTATGTGTAAGCATAAGGCTGCTGCTGATTTATTTAGACATAGGCAGCTGATGAAAGTAGGTTGAAAGTCTATATTTTATTAACATTGATTGGCTTGGGAGGGAAGATGTAGATCACAATTTTCAGAATTTCTTGGAAGTGACACCAATGATTCTGTGGCACAAAGCTCATTTTACACAAAGCAGATAAACTGGGGTTGAATCCCCCTCATTTAATTTTATTAATCTAAAAGCTAAAGGAGCTTCTTTAGTGTATCCAGATTATGGAGCTTTTATAGGATGGGTGGAGTCATCTTCCCTTTCCCTTGTCTATCACAGAAGCTCCAATGAAGCAACTGATTTCAAAGAGCTAAATTTGAAATTAATGCCCCCATTAGAAGCCAGATAGAGAATGAAACAGACCTGTCAATGCACTTGGGCTTTAAAAGCTAAATTACAACTTCTATGCTAAGTCAGCTGTCTGTGGCTGCTCTTGTCTTTACTGCTGCTTGGTACAGAGTGAAGTTAATTGCCACTAAACAATCTCTACTAGTGTACAGTTTAAATAATAACATAAAAAGCCTATGAAAATAATAAATATCTGCCTCTTTTCCTCAACAAGTGCATTCAGAAAGAAATTAACAACCCCAAACAAACCAAAATTCCCTTAATAACACGTTTTAACTTCTGTTTAGTCCTGACATGGTGAAGCAGTTGGACTAGATGATCACTGTAGGTCCCTTCCAAGAGAAAATATCCTACTCTAAAAACCAAAGCTCAAAACTAACATGATTTCTTTTTTCATTTTTCTCATGGAAATAGTCTGGGGTATACTGTGTTATAGAATTTAGACTCTGAGGTATTAAAGCGTGATATAGCATCCTGACATAGCATCCTGGACACCACCATAGTATTCTTTCCCAAAGGCAAGTTTCACATTAATATTAGTTTTTCACTCAGCTACTCCTTTAAGAATGATGCCATAATTTAATATGCTTTAGTCTGTTTATTTTCTCTTCTCCCCTCATTGATCCTAATTGATTCTCAGGTCAAAATTTGTTTTGGCTGCAGTTAGTTGTCCACTTCTATTTTTTCATGGGATCATGGTCACACTTACAGGTATTGCCAGTCTTCCTGTTCCCACTCAAAGCTTCCTAAACATTGTTTGTGATTCTCAGTGTAATGATTTTTAAATCATAATAATGCATTTACATCATTATGTAATTTGGTGTAAAACATTATGTCTCATTTGCTGTAGTTTTGAAAATGCATTAAAACAATTTGTTCATAGACAATCACTGTGTAAATAAGATGCTTTTAAATGTCTACAAATGTATCTCATTTGTTTTCCTTAAGGCACAGTTAGTAGCAACACAAAATAAAGCTCTTCTCCCATCTCTAGTGGAGAGGGACTGAAGTACTTAGCACTGGCATTATGAAACTATATGCATTTTAAGCTAAAATAATGCTCTTACCTCATCAAATCAGAATGGAATTATTTTTGGTTATCTTCACAGATTCCCTCCTCTCCCCACCCACCTTTTTCCTGTACTTCTACATTTACCCCTTGATTTTGCTGAAAAGCACCAGACAGATTTCTGGCTCCATTGATGTTTGTCATCATGTACAGGCTTTCAGACACAAACACTTCACTAAGAGCACAGCTCACACAAAACACAGTTACCGGCACCTACATTTACCTGAAGAGGTAAATTGGAACAGACAGAGGTGAGGGCTAGAGATGAATACACCTGGGCAAATTCTTTTATCTTCTACTACAAAGTCTGTCTGACACCATAAAGCAGTCAGATGAATAACTTATATTTGATTATATAACTCATCTCATTTCAGGAAAAAAATTAAAAAAAGGGTAAAAAAAGTTTATGCATGTGAGAAGGATTAAAATTTCACAGATTTTTATTCTACTATTGTTTGAAAAGAAAAATATCTGATCCTACCTCTTCACAGGTGGTCCTGAAATCCATGTGCTATGACACAGCAAGTGATATTTGTCTAAAATGGAGAGAAAGATTTAATTAGAACGAAAAAGATATTGCAAAGCATAAAAGTTATCTGAGCTGAGCAATTGCACTTCTCTTTGTTAGCTCCAGTTACAATCATGGCTTAAAAAGAGAAATGACCAATGTTGGAGCAGGATTAGGAAGTGTAAAGGTGTTAGAAGTTGTTCCTGGTTTGTATGAAGTACACAAACTGGCTTCACTGACATAATCAAAGGGATGATTATGTTCCCACAACCTCCTCCTTTCTACAGGGCACTCAAACTTACTTTTCTTACTGTAAGTGTAAATTTATGTGTTTCATTTTTTTTTTTTCTCCAAAAGTAAGAGTGTACTGGAAAGCAACAGAAATGGAGACAATTAAGCGTGACTCCTCAGAATACCTCCTCTCTTTTGAAAGACTTAATTTTTTTCTTTTCTCCCCTCATTAAAACCCATCATGCATCAATACCTTTGGTCTCACACTTTATTAACAGAGATAATCTCTCCAAGGAAACCAGTGTCATTTAACAGTGTGCCTATTTTGGAGAAATATTTATGAGTTAAAAAACCCAAATGTTAGAAAAGTCAGGAATATGTTTGAGCGCTGGCAAAATGTCACACCAAATCCTGTGCTTATTACTTTGTGTGGCCTTTACCTAAAGTGTATTCATCCCAATGCACACTTATGCATTCATTTATTTATGAGATCCAGCCACTGGAACGGGATGTTTTCAGAGGTTAATAACCACATCCTGCTACTGGTCCTGAAGTAGAAATACTCATGCATCAGCCAATAATATTTCCAGAAAACACTTCCTGGGCAAAACAGTCATTTCATTCAATGGCTGAAGAAACAAAACCTGTAACAAAATCATCTCCATCAAGTATTTCATTGTTATTCTGTATTAATTATGTGTTTACAATTATTTGTATAAATACAGTACTCGAAGCTCCAACACAAAATTTGCCCCATTAGCCCGATTTTAAAATAAAAGAACTATACCTCACACAGTACAAAAAATAAGTCCTAATAATAAAATCTCTTAAGTATTTTTTTTTTACTTTTTCTGCCCTGAATGCAGCTTTATTAAACCCAAGTACACACAGACATAGGAGGTTAATGTCCTGTACTTACTGAGCTCTGCCTGTTTCACAGCCTGTGCTCTACACTAATTTCCAGGAGATCTACCCTAGGTTGCCTAGGTCACAACACAGGAATTTAAAAGGGACCCATCATCATTCCTTCCTTATCAGCTTTACAAATACACCAAGATCCAATAAAACTGTAGCTGTAATTCTGCTCTCCAAGTGCTCATAAAAAGCAAGGTCACTATTACAATCTTGAAGACTTTTCTCTATGATGGGGCAGTCATTGTGCAATGAAAATGTTTCCTTGTAATTTTAATGAGCTCTCCAGATGCTAACCTGAAGTGGAAAAGAGGCTTTACTCACTTTAGAGTATTGTGAAGATTTTTTAGCCTTCTAGAATTATAAACATATGTATGTATCTTTAAAATATAAACTGGAGTACTGCACAGTGTTCTTTTTTGGCATTTATGTCAGGTCAGTAATTCCTACTGCAGTGTGACTACACTCCTACTGTATTCACTTGTAATGTTCTGCCTTATTAATAAAAGTTCTGCAAAGTCTGGGCTTGGGCAACTTTGGTTTCACAGTCAATGATAATTCCTCTTCGGTTCTTTATTAGCTACTCTTTGGTCTAAATCCTATCTAGCCCTGGTCACAACTTTCCACAACTTAGTATTATTCCATTTTCATCTTTTAATGTTTTATGTGTTTATTTACTTATTTCAGAAATATTTGTATTACCACATAGAATAGCCAAGAACAACTAGGCTCTGCAGCATCACAGCTGATTGTAATATGCAGCTCATGATCTAAAATAACTTCTAATTCTGCTCAGATAATAATTTAGCAACCTTAGAAGTATGAAGCTCCACATGAATACCAAATTATTCACTGAATAAATTTAGGCACTGGAACAGGCTGCCCAGGGAGATGGTGGAGGGATCAACCCTGGAGATGTTAAAAAAAAACTTAGCACTTGAGGCTATGATCTAGTGAATAGGGAAATGTTGGGATGGTGATTGGATTTGATGATCCTAGAGATCCTTTCTAACCATAGTGATTCTATGAAAAAAACCCTTTGGAATCCTTTTTAAACTTTTTTTTTTTTTTTTTTCCCTTTTAAAACCCTTTTAAAAAACCCCAACATTTTAAACAGAACTGCCGTTAACTCTAGTATGCTTAAAGTTATTTCTGAAAGGCAAGAGCCATAGTTCTCCATGTCTTGAGGGCTGTCACACCAAACACAGCCCTTGGCCTTCAGAGAGACAAACTTCAAACTATAAATATTGCCTCCCACCATCTGTTGATACTTGCTGAATCTACCTGCCTCTCACCTTGGTGATACTTCCTTTTTTCCCCCTACATGCTAAATTACAAATAGGTAAAGTAAAATACACAACAAGTACTCTCTTGACATCCATCTCCTACCAAAATAACTTCTCTAGTTCCTACAGAAAGGTTACACACAGAGTTTCCTCCAGGAAAGCTTGTTAGAGGCAATTTTTCATGATTTGTGACAAAAGCTTTTATTGTGAAAATGTTGTCTAAAATGCAAACCCCAAACTACAGAATTCTCAACACAAAATCATACTCACTGCAATGAGTGTACTTGTTTCTCAGGCATCCAACAACTCAGTTGCTAATCTTTGCAATATAGGTGCTTCTGTATCCCTCTATTTCCTACCAATTCAGCTGCATCAGAGAATTTGAGCCCATTATCTATGTTCTTTCTCTGACTATCAGTAATTCTATAACACTTGATATTTTAGAAACAGCACATAGAAGGTTTGATTACAAAGCACAATACCTCGTAAATCAGCTCAGAAACGTCATTGTTTCCAGCATTTACACCTCAAATAAACACTCTGGGTGATTAAATTACAGAAATACGTATTATGCATCATGCAGAAATTTTATGACTTGGGAAAATGCCCCAATGATTAGTAGTTGTCTCCTATAATACATAAAAAAAAAAAAAAAAAAAAAGGCAGGAAACATAAAACAAAGGAATTTTTAAAATAAAACGTTTGCAAAACCATAAACTGTGAAACCCATTGTTCAGAGATATCCCCAGTCAGGCTCTGACTAACCTCTGCAGCCCTCATCTCCAAATCAGAGCCACTTTTACCTAAGCACCTTTCCAGCTCTCCTAGGAGCTTCCTTCAGTCTCACCTAGACAGACCACTGGTTACCAGCACAACAAGTTCCTTCAGCCTCAGTGTTTGGATGGGGTTTTTTTTGTTGTCCAGAAGGTGAGAAAGGAGTGGCTCTGAAGGGAGGAGGTGCAAAGGAAAGAGCGACTGCATCAGGACAGAGCAGGGTGGGCAGGCACAGGGGTGGCATGAGCAGCGTGCGTTACTCAGAAAGGATGGCTCTGACAGCAGTGAGGCTTCCTCTGAAAGGGCTGGGAACCACTGCAATCAAAGATATCTACACGAGCAAGCTCTGAAAAGTCACTTTCCCTCCTTTCAACTTGATTTCGTATCTGCACTTCCTCCAAAACTGAGTTACCAAAGTTATTTAGCACATCTCTGCTGAAAGATGTAAAGGAAGTAACACTTGACAGACAGGTTGGGAACAGAATTCAACACCCCCTTGACAGAACAAGCAGTTATTCAATATTGAAGAAACATTTACCGAGCAGCATTATTACAGCATTTGTGTTCTAAAGGGAAATCAATGGCTAAAACATAACGGCAAAGTTGAAGGCTACGGCAGCCCTCAGAGACAAAGCTTCATTTAGGATAATGCACTCAGCACTTCAGCTATGCTCTCATCCTCCTATAACAAATCAGGTCATATTCCAGTGGTATAATAGATGTAATTTCAAAGTACTTCCATGACTGAATACTCCAGTATACTTAATAAAATAAGATAGCAAACAAAAAGAAAATTTCATCTGCACACAATAACCAGACACTTTGTAAAGCATTGGGAATAGCACAAGCCAAACAAAAAACTGTTGAAGCAATAGTAGGAAACACTTCATTCTCAAGGTTACTGGTGCAAAGTGAGAATACAGCACTGTATGCACAAATAACAAGCTCATGGAGAAATGATGCACAATCAGTTGCAATTTAATTTAGCACATGGTATTACAACAGCTTACATACTTCTTACTTGCTGGAAATAAGTCACAAGAAATTCTTACTGTTTGAATATTGTCTGAATTGCTAACTGGGAAACAGACAAAAAACATGTTTTAAAGGCACAAATATCAGATTTGCAACTAACGGCAACAGTAGTTTACTACAAAAATTCACGTTTGCCTTTTCAAGGCCCTCTGCCTCCGTTCTTGCCAACATCTTTTGTGCTCTGTGTTTTGGAGATGCCTGAAGGAAATCATACCTGTCATGTTTGTGTATGTTAAGAAATTAGATACATGCACTTGTAACTCTGCAGGGGCTTTTCCTTTTAGCAATAATTAAAA